TTACATCACTAGAAAGGGAACACTGAACATATGGCTCTTCTGAAAACATGTTTGTTTTTAAATGCTGTACTTTATCATATTTCTCTGGATGCAGAGAAAGTTCAGACCTTATTATAGGGTCATGACTTTATAATAAGCCTAGTTAACTGGGTGTTACATGCAACTGATAAATTATTGAACACTGCATCTGAAACTAATGAGGCACTATATGTTTGCTAACTGAATTTAAATTAAAATAAATAAATAAATAAATAAATAAATAAATAAATAAATAAATAAGCCTAGTTAAGGCAGCATTCTGTAAAGGATGCTGCTACCTGATATGGCTCCTCTTGACAGGTGAGACCCATACAAATACAAGTGATTTTCTGAAGACAAGCAGAGTACTTGTTTTTTTTTTTTTAAAGATTTTATTTATTTATTTGAGAGAGAGAATGAGAGAGAGAGCACGAGAGGGGGGAGGGTCAGAAGGAGAAGCAGACTCCCCGCTGAGCAGGGAGCCCGACGCAGGACTCGATCCCGGGACTCCAGGATCATGACCTGAGCCGAAGGCAGTCGCTTAACCAACTGAGCCACCCAGCAGAGTACTTGTTGATAATGAAGGCACAGTGCGAATGAGATACAGTTCACTCTAAATACTTATATGTGTATGTCTATGAATAACAAAGAGTAGGGAGAAGATTCTGACATTGATCTCAAGTTTCCCCAGTGCTTGACTGAAGGAATAATTTTAGTCCAATTTGGATCCCTCTTGTTCTGGTCCCAGAGATCCCCTGTGTGTGTCTCACTCCTGCCATCTTGTCCTGAGCAATATATTGCTTGCTAGAATGCCCACCTTTTATTTCAGAGATCATGATGCTGAATTTGTTGTCTTATGAAATTGGCCAAGAAACCTTCTTTAAGTGCTGAATCTTTGCCGGTGGATTTCTGGGGATCTCTTAGTTTCCTATCAATGTGCTTTACAAAATGCTGACTGCCTTTGTGCTTGTGTAGTAAAAATGAAAAAATGCTCTGCTGTCCCAGAGGCACCAAGGTGGCATAATCATCCCAGGAGGAAGATAAATTCCTACCTTCCTACTTCCTTCCATGTACAGAGACCCATGAGAAAGGAAACCACACCTAAGTCTTTGATCTTATTGAAGAGAAGACTGCAATAGTACTTTGAGTACCAGGACAGGTGAGTTTGGCTGAGTAGCTTAATGAAGTTCTCCCAGCTCTCTGATAAGAGGACGAGAGCTGAGTTTTGGGATGGGGACAAGAAAGAACCAAGTTACATAGAATAATAGTGTTAGAGGGATGCTGAGCTTTAGGGACAAGAGTTCAGCAAGGTGGGGAAAACCTGAGGCCTGTGGAGGACAAAGCCACTGAAAAATTTACTCGAGCAAGAATGACCCAAGGACCGGGGTTTAATTAATTACCCAATTTAATTAATTACAGGATTACTTAATATCAGTTTTAAATTGTTTGCCTTGGCATCAGGGAAATACAAATCAAAACCTCAATGAGATACCACCTCACACCAGTCAGAATGGCTAAAATTAACAAGTCAGGAAACGGCAGATGTTGGCGAGGATGCGGAGAAACGGGAACCCTCCTACACTGTTGGTGGGAAGGCAAGCTGGTGCAACCACTCTGGAAAACAGTATGGAGGTTCCTCAAAAAGTTGAAAATAGAGCTAACCTATGACCCAGCAATTGCACCACTGGGTATTTACCCCAAAGATACAAATGTAGTGATCCGAAGGGGCACATGCACCCAATGTTTATAACAGCAATGTCCACAATAGCCAAACTATGGAAAGAGCCTAGACATCCATCAACAGATGAATGGATAAAGAAGATGTGAGATATATATATAGATATATAGATATATAATGGAATATTATGCAGCCATCAAAAAATGAAATCTTGCCATTTGCAATGGCATGGATGGAACTAGAGGGTATTATGCTAAGCGAAATAAGTCAACCAGAGAAAGATAAGTATCATATGATCTCACTGATATGAGGAATCTGAGAAACAAGACAGAGGATCATAAGGGAAGGGAGGGAAAAATGAAACAAGAAAAAACCAAAAAAATCTAAAAAACAAAACAAAAACAGACTCACAGATACAGAGAAGGAACTGATGGTTGCCAGAGGGGAGGAGGTAGGGAGATGGATGAAATAGGTGAAGGGGATTAAATGTACAATCTTCCAGTTATAAAATAAATAAGACATGGGGATGGAATGTACAGCAGAGGGAACATTGTCCATAATATTGTATGGTGACAGATTTTGTACTATATATAAATATCAAATCACTATGTTGTATACCTGAAATGAACACAATATTGTGTATCAGTTATTCTTCAAATTTTTTTTTAAAAAGTGGTAATGAAGAATTCAGTTGAATGAGAAAATTTGATTCAGAAATGACTTGAAGAAATGTAAACCCATAAGAATCATGAGAGATATTTCAAGGCTGCTAGGACACCACGCCACCCATAAGTAGGATAGGAACTTGAACCATTTTCATTTAAAAATTATAGAGGAACAGATGAACCAATAACATTGAAGGACTTGGGAAATCACAAAGGGTTGACATCTACTCAAAGGACCCCTCATGTGATGCTGCAGCGCCCTCTCTGCCCCCCATCTTGGCACCAGCATCTGCATTCCCTCTGCAGGGGCAATATTCACAATGGCAAGAGGAGGGACATTTCCAACTTCTTATGGTAGGAACAACCCTTGCTTTGTAAGAATGTGAGCTGGAAACAAAACATTGGTGCAAGACCAAGGATGCCCTTTCACTGCCTAGATGCTACCATTGGATGTGCTGCTGTCTGCAGAAGGTCAGGAGCAGCTCACCTGTTCAGAATCCAGTGTTCATTTTCCGCAGACCCATCAATCATCATCCAAGTTGGACACCATCGGATTGGTGAGAGGCCCTTCTGGGAGCAGTGGAAAGGAGGTCCTGTAACTTGGACCGGAAAGTCCATGAGAGACATCATAAAACTTGCCCCACACTTTCATCTCAAGTAATGGACAATGCCAGTATGAATCTATTGCTCTCCTCTTATTTAGTGGGTCAAGCTCTGTCTTAACAAGCCTGTTTTAACCATACCCCACACTATATCAGACTCCTCTTTCCTAAGACTCTCATGATTGCATTTTCTGAGCAGTGATCCTGCATGATCTCATACTAAAACAAAACAAAACTCAGATCCAGATAGCAAAATCATAGAACCTCTCTCTGAATAATTGCAAACATGCACAAAGTGGACTCAAGAGTATACTTCATAAGGGCAGAAACTTTGGGGTGTGTCTGATTCACCTTAGTCTCCCAGGATCTAGCACAGTGCCTGACAAATAGTAGGCCCTCCGTGACTCGGTCTCTCTTCTGTTTCTAAATGTCAGGCTTCGTTTGTGTGGTCTGGTCTCCAGTCTTCAAGCACCACACTTTAATCCATCCAGGCAGCTGGCCGCCTCTGTCTCACTGAAAACTTCCAGGACAAGGGGCTGTACAGCCTCCCCAGGCTGCTGAGTCACCTTCCTATCAGGAAATTGTTTCTGCCTTAGCTAAATAGGTAGGCAATTTTCTTTCTATTTCAGACAGAGAACCTAAGCTTAAAAAAAGATTAAGTGAATAGCTCAAGGTTATACACAAACTCTGGCCCAGTTAGGAATAGAACCCAAGTGGTTCCTGACATTCAATCCTATAGTTTCAATTCTGTTCCTTTTGCCGTAGAACCTATCTTTATAATTTATAGATATTGTTCCCAAATTGCGCACTGGAAATTCTGCCTAAATATTGAAGGTAAAATGGCTTCATGTATCCAATGTAGAGAGAATATATATAAGAGGAAATTTGTCCCATGTGAGGAATGAATCACTGTAAAGAACATTTGTTCAGTTGTTTCATTATAAAATAAGAGCATTCCTCCCAGCTGCCACAAAATTCAAATTCTCCATTTTGTTACTAAACAATCCTTTTAACACCAAGCCAAAAATAAGTCACAATGTTAATGCAAACATCTTGCAATCCAAATAAGAGAACTTGTGCCAAATTTATCAGAGTTAGAGGGAAATTGTGTTGGATCTCTCTGCCTCTGAGAAACTTTCTATTAGATCACCAGTCAATAGGGTACCAGCATCTGCTGATGCCAAGTGAAAGACATGAGTAATAACAGACAGCTTTAGAAAATACATTTTTCTTCCATAGTTAGCAATGCATGACTCACTAGAACTCTCCAGACACTATACTGCATGAATGACTCAAATTTCTACCAGGGACAGAGCACAATCAGTTCTCTCTTCCTACACTAGGATTTCTTGTCTCAATTATCACTCATTTGTTAGCTTACTTCAAAGGCAGAGAGTCTTGGTTCACTCTCCTTCCTTTTTTAAAAACAGTGGTACGTATAAAAATAAATATTGAAGTGCTGCTGGAAAACAGAGACTAAACATCAGAATGAATACTGAAAGCAAACTTCAACTGACCTAACTCCCACCATTTGCAAGGCCACATTGGAAAATGACCATGGTTAATTTCCTTCTTGAACATTGACCAATGACCAGAGATTATTGCAATAGGGGAAGTGCCTTATGGTTAAAGACAAATGACCTGCCCATCCAGATCTTCAGTAGCCCATAGTAGTATCAAAGATATTTTGAAAAATAGTTTAGTAGTTAGTCTCCGTGGCAGAGGTCTTGATTTCCCTCAAACAACTATTCTCTTTGGTTCTTTCCTTTCCATTCCATCTGGTATTCCAACTCCAGATTGATTTTCCTAAAAGTTTTTTTGGATTATGACAATAGCTTAGCATGATGACAAAGACCACAGGTCTTGGAATTAGACATTTGATTTCAAATCCTGGATTTATCAATTAATTTTTAACTTATCTATACCTCAGTTTCCATCTGTGACATGGAGTTCATAAGATACTTGAGTAATTTTAACTTTGTGTTAAAATGAGTATATAAGCATATATAAAAATTTTTAAAAAATTAAAAAATAAATGAGCATATAAGAGCAGCACATACATTAAAATTGGAATGATAAGAGAAGATTAGCATGGCCCCTGCACAAGGATGACATGCAAATTCATGAAGCATTCCATATTTTTAAAAAAATGAGTATGTAAGAAAATAGAGCATTCGTGGCAAAGAGCATAGACTCTAGAGTCAGACCTGGAATCAAAATCCTGATTCTGCCATTGAACTGCCTATAAATTATACTAGTTATCCAACACTGTGTAATAAGTCACCCCAAAACTTTCTGGATTATGACAGCAATAATTATTTTTTATCTTCCACAGTTTCTGTAAGTCAGAAATTTGGGAGTTGTTTGGCTAGGTCTCTGATGAGGTTGCAGTCAGATGTTGGCTAGGGTCGCAGCTGGCTAAAGACTGGACTGAGGCTGGGAAATCTTCTTCCAAGACAGCTCCCTCACATGGAAAGTTGGTACAGGCTTTTGGCAGGAATCTTCAGTTTCCTTCCTTGTGGGCTCCATAAGATCCTTGAGTGTCCTGATGACATTGCAACTGGCTTGCTCCAGAATGAGTGATCAAAGAGGACAAAGCCGAGGCTGTAAAGTTTTTATGACCTTGCCTTGGAAGTTACATACCATCACCTCTGCCGTATTCCACTGGTCACACTGGCCAGCCCTGACTCAATATGAGAGGGGACTGCACAAGGGCACAAACATCAGGAGGTAAGACTTGCCGGCAGTTATCTTGGAAAATAACCACCGCAAAGAACTCAGACAAAGCTTTTTAAGCCTTAGTCTCCGATTTGCCTCCTGTAGGCAATATACTTCTCTCATAAAGTTGCATATAAGAATTAGATGAGACAATGCATGTAAAGTACTTGGTATGAGCACTGAGTAACATATAGAACCGTTGAATCACTATATTGTACATCTAAAACTAAGATAACACTGTATGATAAGTACACTTGAATTAAAAATAAATTTAAACAATTTTTAAGTAAAAAATACATATTTAAAGTACGTGGTACAACATCAGTATTCAAAAACATTACTTAGTATTATTATAAGCCAGTAGTAGTTAAATTATTCCAAGGACAGTCCTGAGGAAGAAAATGTTATTCTGGGGAGTAGCTAGAGCTATAAACTCCCTCCTTCCTCCCCCCATTCTTACTTTTGGTGGACTTCATTTTCTCTCATATATATTAGGACTCCTCATAAGATTTTCACTTGAGGAAAGGATTCCCAGCTTAAAAAAAAAAAAAAGTAAACCACTGCTGTAAGTCATATTTATTTCAAATATTAGGAATTTTATGATAGATAAATATGTATATATGTATGAATATACACACACACATATGTATATATGTATATACAGTAGACAAATACATATATACATATGTGTATATCTATATATAGAGAGAGAAATTTAGATAGAGAGAGAGATGAAATTTCCATATAGATAGCATTACCTAGCTAATAGAGCTATAATGTGCCTGGAAAGCAGAGAATATCAGATTGAAAAGCCCGTAAGACACCACCTTACTCTAATGTTAAAACCTCAAGACTGTTAAGCCACTCATTTCCCACAGCAATCACATGGAAGTGTTGATTTGAGGGTCCCAGATGAACAGATGGAGTAAGCTCCTGCACATTCTGAAGGTTCGTCCATTCACCATTACATTTATTCAAGCATCTATTTTAGGCATGCTCTGTCCTAACTGCTGGGTATAAGCAGTGAACAAGATAGATAGAGTCCCACCTACTCCTATTGTGAAGGAGAAACATGGACAAAACAAATAAATGAACACCACAATTTCAGGCACTGGTAAGTGCTATGATAAAAACGAAACACAGCAATGTGGTAAAGCAATGTGAAGAGTAAGGGGGCTGATTTTACAAGGGTGGTCAAGAGAGTCTTCTATAAGGAGATGATACTGGAACTGAGACAGGAGCAATGAGAAGGAACCAGCTGTATCAGGAACTGAGAGAGGAATTTGTAGAAACATGGCACCTTGGGAAGATGGAGCCATCAGGCAGCCTCATTCCAATGGAATTCATTAAACTCATTCACTATTCATTAAAGTCTTTGACATTTTGTTTGAAGACCTGTGTGCCTTTGATGCTTTATCTGCATAAGGACATTTGGCTAAAGTTGCTGAACAGAGCCAATCTTTCTGGCAAAAAATCAATGGAACTGCCAATAGATGGTGTGGCTGAAACTGATGCCTCCAAGTTAAAAACTAGGCTTGAATTGGGGCCATTCTAAAAATATTCTAGACTATCTGTAAGATCAAATAAAACCTATGAAAATAGAAACAGTAGAATGAAGACCAAATTATTCAAAAGATAACCTATATATTCTTGTCTACTTTTCCCCAAACCTTTCAACCTTATTTTTCACCACCAGCTGATACACTCAGAATGTTGGGGTTGGGGGAGACAAAGGGAAGAAAGAAAGAAATGGGATGCATAAGTCTGCAGGATAAAAGGAGTAGATTACAAGGTAAAATCAAACTATGTTAGAGTTGGAAGAAACCCTAGACATGGTCCTATCTAATCCCCTCACGTTATACATGACCAAACTAAGCCTCAAAGAAATTCAGCAACTTACCCAAAGTACACAGTCAATGGCTTTTGGAGCTCCCCCACATGCCAATGGAGGTGGCAGGAGGGTGTGTGTGTGGGGGGCAATCCCTTACTTTCCATACAGGCTCATCTTCATATAGGGTGAGGAAGAACCTCTCCATCCTGAATTCAGGGAATGCTCTACCCCAGATCCCCTTCCCAGCAGGTAAGATGCCTTAATTTACAAGAGTCTCCTTCTGGAACCCCTTGTGCCTGAAATAGCAATAATGATAGATTCCTTTTACCAAGCACCTTTCTTATACTATTTTTAGTCAATTCTTGCCTTGCTCATTTCTTTTCTATCTTCCTTTCTTCTTTCCACAGATATCTATTGAGTGTCAGGGATATTCTAATAAACAAGATGGGTACAGTCCTTGTTTTATGGAGCTAAGAGTGTAGGAGGAAAATAAACAATCAAACAAGTCTCCAAAACAAGCGCTATACAGTAGTCCCCCCTTATCTGCTGCTTTGCTCTCTGTGGTTTCAGTTCCCCGCAGTTTCAGTTCCTGGCAGTCAACCTCAGTTAGGAAGCAGAAGATCCTCCTGACATACCGTCAGGTCAGGAATAGCCTAACACTATCACAATGCCAACATCATTCTCCTCACATCATCTCCTCATGTAGGCATTTGATTGTCTTGCAGCATCACAAGAAGGAGGGTGAGTACAGCACAATAAGATATTTTGAGAGAAAGAGCCCATATTTACTAGCTTTTATTATAGTATACTGTTATAATTGTTCTATTTTATTGTTAGTTATTGCTGTTAATTTCTTACTATGCTTAATTTATAAATTAAACTTTAGCGTAAGTGCGTATGTATAGGGGAAAATAGCATATATATATAGGGTTCAGTACTATCTGTGGTTTCAGGCATCCACTGGGAGTCTTGACACGTATGCCCCTGAGTGGGAGTCAGGGAGACTTCTGTACTTGGAGAAGTATGGGGCATTATGGAAATGCTGAGCAGGAGCAACTAGCCTGGTTCAGAGGAGGGTGGGAAGGAGGGAAGGTTCCCAGTAGAAATGGCATTTAAGCAAAAGACAGTAAAGGATGAGATAAGGGAACTGCCCTTTCAAAGGCTGAGTGGAAAGCACACCCATGGCACACCTCAAGCACTTAAGGCAGCTCAGTGAGGCTGTGGTATAAGATACAAGAGGGCAAGTGGCAGGAGATGAGAGACCTAGACAGAAAGATATCGGTAGTGTGGTAAGAGCGAGGATGGAGAGACAGTTAAAGGATGGCATTCCCAGGACACGGTGATGAACTGAAAATGGAGGGAGGCAGAAGGTAAAGTCAAGATACTACCCCAGCTTCCAGTAGCCAAAAGGGATGCCTATTATACAGGAAAACTGCGGGAAGAGTAATGTTTTGTTTTATTGGAGGCAGGGGTGGAGATGAGTTTGGTTTTGGACAAAATGAATTTGAGTTGTCCATAAAACACCTCCATAATGTCCAAGGGCAGTTGAACATAAGGATAGAGACCTCAGGAGAGAGTTCTGGGCTGAAACGTGGATTCATGAGTCATGAGCATATTACTTCCTGCTTTTAGATGATGAATCTGAGACCCAGAGAAGTGAAGAGACATGCCCAGGGTCATACCAGCAGGTGCAGAGCAGAGATTTCAACCTTCGTCTTCCCAATCCCCGTATCTGTGTCCTTCCCAGGGACACTCGCAGCTATAGTTACATGCTTGGTGAGGAGTGGTAGAAAGGTGTTGCAGCAGAACCATGCTCTTTAATTTCCGTTTCTAGACTATTTAGGGACATACAAATATATCTCATGTGTGTGGTCATAGACGTTCTTCAGCTGGTGCAGCCACCAAATTGCCTAGCTACTCACGCTTGTCCTTTGGATAAGTTTCCAAGAAATCTCTGTTAAACTGAGAGAAATCAAATCATGTTCTCTGAATATTCCCTTCCTTGCTCCCGTAAGCTACCCGAGAGTATAATGTGTCAGGCATGTCCCCCTTTGACCGCCTGCCTGTTTTCTGCGCTACCCAAGGAGTCTGTGTGGGATTCCTTTGACCCTGCTCTCTTGCATCTAGAACTCATCTCCAATATCCGTCCTTCATAAAAGCTTTCCCTGACTGCCTTCCCCCAGTTATCAGTGGTACTGTGCATGGACTTTCCCTTCATGGTGCTTCTCCCAGTTCATTATTTTACTATACAGTTCTACTATTTGGTTCACGCCTGCTTCCTCAGCTAAATACTCACCGTTTTATCTAAGTGTTTATCCCAAGTTGCCAAGAGTGCCTGGACATAGTAGGAGGTACTCGATAGATAATTGTACATTGAATGGGTGGATTGTTATTCTCTGCCCCCAGATTTCCTACTTTATGCCTCTTTCTCTCTCATATTGACTGTGGCCTTCTGAAAATGAAGGGGAGAAATTTTAAGCTTGTTAAACAGGCCCTGTGTGTCTAACATTGACCGTAATTCCATGTTCCAGTTTTTAAAAAAATAATTAATAGGTACAAGAACTGGCAACAAGAGGAGAAATAAAGGTGGATGT